TGGCACAAAGAGAAAGGGATACTCGGAAAGTGGATCTTTATATGAAGCTTAGCCACACGAGCCCTTTCGTAACTGTAATAAGCTATGATATTATTTTTAGTAGGAGGGTTGGAAACATCTGGGTATTTGTGGTACCCAAGAAGGAAGGTCAGAGTACACTTGAAGTTTCCTTAACATCCTGCTCGAGATGGAACTGGCTGGAGTTTTGTGACACCAGCACTTGAGCTGATCAGAGGACATGCAGCAATGAAAACAACGTGTGATTTACACATCATTCTCTTGACTGCCATGTACCATAGTGAGAAGTAAAAATCCATGAACACAGCTTCAAAGATGAAAAGCTGAGAGTTGAGATGACATGAACACCTTGGGACACGCATCAGATGTGCAAACTTTGCTACACCTTCTCAGCAGCTATATGACTGTTACCCAACACCCTTACAGTCATGTTTAATTTTATCCCTCCAGCACGTACTGAGATGCCACAGCCACATCTGTGACAAAAAGGCACAAGACACAGCCTACGTTAGGTGACTTAAGCAAGTCCAGTGAACCTCTGGTAGCACAGGGGTCTGAATCCATCCAGTATGTCATCCACTAGAGCAGCACCTTTCCTATCCTGTTTTTTCTTTAACAGTGCCAGCACCAGCCTTTCTGCCAGATTTCCTTACCCTACACAACTAAACAGCAGAAGAGAGGCTCTTTTGAAGATCATGACCTTCTTGCAGCAGCAAGACACACTGCATTTAAAGGGCAAAAATAAACAAAACAGAATCTCTGCTTCCTCAGTTTACATAGTCCCACTTCTCTTTCAGCATTCGTGAGCCTTGTTAAGTCCCATCTGCTCTTCTGAGCCCTGCCATGCACCCAGGCTTTCCACTTCAAACAAATGAATTAACTGTATAATCTGCCAAACACACAATTCTTAAACCCCTTGCCGCCGCCTCCCCTGCTCACTGGACGTTAACAAACCCAACAGAAGTGCAAATGCACAGCCATCAGCTTATTAGCGACTGAAGAACCTGTCTAAGACTTTTAATGATTTCCAGCTGCCTAAGGTACTGAACTTTCAAAATGTACAACTGACAGAAGGTAAATACATTTCCTGCCTAAAACAGCAGCCTACCTAGCGATTTCTATACAAGGAAGAGATTGGTTGCTTCATGTATTTGAGGCAAAGCCCAAAAAACAAGAGATACAGAATTTTAAATTCAAATATTTGGGGGCTTGTTTTCAGACAGTACCTAGCCAACAGTCAGGATGAAAGAGGCACCATACTGCATTACTACAAACCCTCCTCGTACATAAGTTTTTAGTTTCCTAAGGACGCACTGTTTTCTTTTTGCACTCTCAAGTTATTTTGTAACAGAGAGAAACATTGCATGGCTGAAAGTGCAATGTTAATACTTCACCAAATGATGATTCTTCACTCTATTAATGAATCTGAAAATGTGTGCCAGCTGCAGGAGTTTTTCCCCCCATATATCTAACAGTGTTAAAGCGGGAAACACCACCATCTGCCTTCTCACTTCAGCAATTTCATTTCTGTAAATTGTTTCATCTAGCATGAAAACCATTTTTGAGAAGGTTATCCAAGACACTCCAGAATTCATTCCAAAGCTCCTGCATTTTAAGAACAATTTTAGCAGAACTACCTCCGCCCCTCTCTTTGGAAAAACAGTTTGGAACAAAAGATTCACAGCCTACGGAAACTTTTTTTTTGCAATGCATCTAAACAGAGAAGTTATGTTACCTTAACGTGCTAGCAACAGATGAATTTTCCCAAACTACTGAAACAACAATGGATTTCCTTGTTTAGCAGAGAAGTGACTGTATGATGGGTCTTTTTCGTACCAGCGAAGTTGTTAAAATAAGAAATTTAGTAATTCAGGGAGGACAATGACCACAGTCATCTGCTACTCTGCAGCTGCTTGCCATTTACACTGATCCTGTGATCTCTGTTTATAAAGGTCAGCAGTTGCTCTGAATTCACAGCTGAACTTAGGAGAAAGTACCATACCAGCAGCTTGGTAACCTGAAAAAGCATCTGGTTAGAGTATTGGGCAGCATGGCTTTTATGGCAAAGGTCACAGTTACTACTCAAAAAGCCCTACATGCGCTAACAGGGTCTGGCCTGTCTGTCAGCCAGCAGAGACCGACCCGGCTTTCGAGCGCAGCACGTCACCTGCCACCTCCGCCACGGCCGTGCTGTCGGCCAACCCGGCCCGCCGGGGAACGCACGGCTCCGTGCGACACAAGCACTTGCACAGAACGGCTTCAGAAGGCCCGCCCCGGTTTACTTTTCCTCTTTCACAACTCTGGGCTGCAAATTTTTTATTCCAACTGCAGTTCAACAGAGTAATTCATGCGAGTAAGAACTGCAGAGTCAGGCCCCATAGAGTATCAACTTTTTAATGTTAGTTTAAGATCTCAGGCACGTTACACCTTAACCTAAGACGGGAGATGGGGGGAACTGCAAAAGATCCTTATGAAGGACCCAGAGGGTTAGGGGCACAGGCCACATCTGCAAGTGAAAATAAATAAAAATCATTACTTCTATAATATTTTCAAATACATAAATAAAAGACTCAGCACGTCAACTTCACAATACAAGCCCAAATCTGGATTAAACTGCCCCCACAGTTCCTTAGCGATATTAACAGATTGGTTAATATCCATTATCATTAAATGATGTAATCAAATGCTCCAGCACCAAAATTCTTGAAAGACTGTTGATCACTCGAATCACACTAATTGTATTAGTATCCCTCTTATTACCACTATTTTATAATACTTCGATAGTATTTTGCCTGATAAATGAGGAAAAGTGTAATGCAGTTTTTTGAGCTTTTTTGACACAGAATCTAAAGACACAAAAAAGCTCTAAGGTGGGCAGAAGTAACCGTCACCTTAACTGGAAAACACATTTGTCTGCCAGAGGCCACTATCAGACATGAAATCCCTCTGGTGATATTCAGGGACAGCGTGCTGGTAAAAGGCCCCGTCTTTCTGTACAGCCGTGGCTCAAAAAGCTTCACTTCTCCAGCAGGCACTGCCAACACGGTCTTCTCATAAAAGTTCTTTCTAATGGGAAGGGTAAATTTATCATTTCCATTTTAGCTGCTACTTAAAACCTTCTGTATCAGCCAGCACAACACAAGGGAATGCACACTTGAGAAGGCCAATAAGGAAGTTAGAAAAGACTAATGCATTAAAGAAGAAGAAAAAAAAATGTGGGCAGAGAAAAAAAAAGGAAAAGGAAGCTAGACAACCGAAGACTAAGGGAATAAAAAGATAAGAAAACATACACTGAAGAAGCACGGGGGTTGTGTGCATTTTCTGTTTGGGGGGGTGTTCTCTCTCCAATACCAAAGGCATTTGAGTGAAATAAGTACAGCAATCTACAGAAGCACACACTAACCAGCACAACAGCATTTTATTCTTTCACATTGCAAAGGAACAATTTGGGGGGAGACAAAATTAATGTTCAGGTATTTTGGCAATCGCTGAGGGGAATTTTCCACTAGTTCTTGAAACCAGGGAAATGCAAACTTCTCAGCCAGTATTTACATGGGGGAGAATGCACACGTACTTGTACAAAAATAGCTTGACAGCAGCTTGGCAGAATCCCAGCTCCTAGAGCACCATAAAGGGATCTTACTCACAGCATTTATCATAACGGCACAAAAGCGGTT